TTTAATTGAAGTATAGCCACCCTACGCTCAGTATTGAGACGATACAAACACACTATCCAATTTGTGTTCACTTAACGTTAGGGCTTAGTGTGCGGTCAAACAACCGGTCCTAATTCTTACCGACATAATGGACACCCAAAATGTAGGTTTGCATTCTGTAATCTCATTAAATTATATTGCAAAATTCTTTTATATTTTTGGGACTATTTACTCATTAACGTATAAAATATATTAAATATCAGTTTACTATTTAGTTCACATAATATTGTTTTTATATTTTATTTCATTACAATGAGAACACTTAAAACATCGCTTTCATTCTCTAAGCAAAAATAAAATAAAATGTGGTAAGTGCTAGAGCAAAATATGACAAATAATAATTTATTTCTTAATAAGGCAGACAATACAGACACAGACTACGCTAGAAAACACAAAATATTCATTAATCAAAAGTATGCAACATTGACAGAATAGAATCATTATTCAAATAAGAAAGAATGACAATCACAAAAACTATAGCTTTCTAATACAAGATAAAATATTGTCCATTTTTTCAAGTTTTTATTACCTTCCACACATGAATACTTTTTGAGTGATCTCATATGAAATTTTTTTCATGGCCATTTAACTTTTGACAAGTCATGCTATAGGCCTAAAGCTTAGGTTTTCTAGAACAGCGGTGCCGTTATCTAACGGCCGTAATTAACGTTGGGTGACGTCACCCATACGTTGTCTATAAAAACAATCGGAGTAGGTTTTCTAGAGTGTCACCGTAACGTCAAATAGCGGTGCTGTCATTTGCATGACGGCCGTCATAGCGGTGATAAACATTAGTTCAACGTTTTTCGCGTGTAGATTGTTGTCGCGAAAATGATTGTTTTTTTGCATTATGTTAAAAAGTAAAGACGGCTGTTATTAACAACCGTAAAATGACGGCCGTTACTTAACGACACCGCTTTTCTAGGAAACCTAAGCTTAAGACATCACAGTTTTCGACATATTATTTCATACAATTAGGTGTTAACGTCAATGAATGCTATTTTTTATAATATTTGATTTCTTATTTGGTGATTAAGTTAAGTTAATTTACATTTTTACACATATTACCCATACATTGTCTATGCTTGAAAACGAAATGCATTTTTGAGGATTCCTACAAAAAATTAATATAAACGAACTACTTTTTGAGAGCTTTGCTTACTTTTGCTGACACGAGGAAGGGGGGAATAAATTGCAGTAAATCTACTTACGCGAACGGCCCCAATTATCTAATATACTTTTGGTAAGTGAGGACACAGCACAGCTTCAAATGCACAATCTTATATTAAGAATAGCTTAATCACTAAGCTGAGAAGGTTTATACGAGATTTAGTAGTCAATTTAATTACATTAAAACTTTAATCATTGGATTAATCCAGCCGGGTCAAATATTTATCTTATTTTGCGATCAAACGACTCAAAGTTAACATTAATCCCTATTTTCAGTACGTTAACTTAATAATATACAAATCTTCGTCCGAAGGGGAAAGTCGAGAAAAACTAGGCAGAAAATTGTGAGGTTATTTCACTTTTAAATCTTTGGGGGATCTTAATTACATACGCGATATTTTCGACTTTATTTTTGTATTATATTATATTTTTTTGGAACATCGCTTATATAAACTATATATAAGTTCGTTTCCACATAATTCAATTGTTAGTTTAGTTTCTTTGTTACTAACAACACCTAAACACCAAGAAATTGAAGTTTTTTTTTTCATAGATACCACCGCCCATGGGTACTCTCAATGCCAGAAGCCTCGCGAGGGCGATGCCGGCTTTTTAAGAAATTGGTAGGCTCTTTTCTTGAAGGAACCTAGGTCGAATTGGTTCGGAAATACTTCAGTGACAGAAAGAAACAAAGTAAATGAGGAAAATGGCGGAATGGAATGTTGCCTATTTCGTTCTACGTTTATTGCGAAAACTAATTTTGCATTAATTTGCGATTCAAAGCTTCGGTGCCTATAAGGGTACATGATTGAGATGAAAATTTATTCTTCGTAATAAATTTATAACCGAACTCATAGTGATTCATTAATCTATCTCTTTAATTTAATAAATAACCTTGTGCGATTAGTTCGGGACTCACTTAAGAAAGCAATTATAATTTAAATAATAATAAATAAATAAGCCTCCAATCAAATGTATGGTAAACTTTATTTATATATAAAGGTAAACAAGTACACTTATGAACGTCAACAGAAAAGATGTTAAATTGATTCTAAATTAACATTTACTACCAGCTCGCAAATCAAGAGCGTAGAGTGGGTAAGAAGGAAAAGTACAAAAGTAAAAGGCCGTCGACGCATTCGCGAGCCATAGTTTATCCACCACTGAGCGTCTTTTAAGGCAGTTTGTGCCGCGCACCATTACTATGTGGAACCAGCTGTCCACTGAAGTATTTCCGATTCGACTAAGGCTCCTCCAAGAAAAGAGCGTACCAATTCTTAAAAGGCCGGCAACGCACTCGCGTACCCTCTGGGATTGAGACCAGATAATTGATACATTATAATCTTCGTATGTAGTATGAATTTAGTGATTAATATATATTATTACTAGCTGATCCGGTAAACGTTGATTTGCAATGTATATTATTTATAGGAAACATTTTTTTAGTTTAATAAAAATAACTATGATAATAATAGGGGTTGATCGTAGAGGGGTGAAAATTAAGGGTTGTATGTATTTTTGTATGTTGTATCATAAAAAAATAAAAACAAAAAAAATTTGTCTAAAAAATAAAATATTTTTTTTTGGAGTGGATACCCCTTATCACTTAGGGGTTTGAAAGATAGATTATAGCTGATTCTCAGACTTATTGAATATGCATAAAAAATTTCATTAGAATCGGTCAAGCCGTTTCGGAGGAGTAGGTATGGGAACGAATTGTGACAAAAATTTTTACAAAAATTAAATACTGCTATCCTCCCACCGACGTAATACTGAATTTGTAATACAGCGTTGGATAAAAATGTAAATAACACGTTTTTTATATACCTACTTCTACTAGGAGTTTTTTTATTTAATTTTATTTCTTTTCATATAAAAGCATTAAAGTGTAGTTAGTAGATATCTCACGTAAGATTGCTAATTACTATTTTCACAGCGTCTCGAGGCAGGCCTTCTTTTATTAATTTACCAACTGTCTACGACGTAATGGAATGGAATTATTTTTCCTGTTGTATTATTAGTCATGTTTATACCAATAAGTTCCAAAAGTCCGTAACATGTCAAATGGCAGACATTTTTCTATGGCTTTTGACATTGACAGTGTAGACATAATTAATAAATATAGAAACTCCATGGGCACAGCCAGGATTCGGACACATGGTATTTTTTTTTAATGGCTCTGGCACGATTTCTGCATTAGCATGCGTCAAGTATAGGATTTTTTATAATTCGTGCTTGTCTTTACAAAATTCGACCGTGGCCTCCATGTACGGTTTATGCACTCGCCCGGTACCGCACAACCCTCCCAAAGGCCGAGAACAAATTTAAATTAAATTAAAGTTTGCCCTCGAACCGGGAATCGAACCACCGCCACTTAATAAGACCGCTAGGCTATGAGGCCCCCAGGACACATGGTTTGATGATTGCAAGCATGAGATTCTTCAGCAAGGTCCAAAATGCTGTGTGTCTGTCAACTGTCAAATGTCAAAAAATTTATTTCAATTTTTTAAAGTGTAGATTATGTTTATGTCGTAGTATATATATCCTGTATGAAAAAATAAACAGTGGTGTATTTGTTTTCATAATTTAGTCATATTGTTAGCAAAATAAATACGTAAGTAACTTTATATAACAGAAGCTAAAGTATTTATATCGCGAATGGAAAAATATTTTCTTTATTGGCGCGTTGAAGTATGGATGGGAAAATGCTTTGTGATTGGCAATTTCTATATAATATCGTAAGAGAATTTTTCTATTACATACGATTGTTGCCTTAAACAAGATTGTGTAAATATGAGGTTTTCTTTGCCTTCTGAAATAACAATTGTATTCCTAAACCAGTATGAATCAAATACGTTTTATTAAATATACCAAACTGTTTTTCGCTGAGTCTTATCGGGGCATTTTAAATATAAGAGTATAGCACCTACTCAGTTTCTTGTCAGCTAATATTGGTAGAACACAATTCTGAATTAGTATTTATTTATCAGGAAACAAACATCACTTTAATACAAACAGAAGGAAGACAATTAAAATATAAAGTTATATTGGATGTTTAAATAACAACAGCATTCGATTTTGTTCCCTTTAGAGTAGAGAGTGGGCCGTGCTGGCTGCACTTGAACTCCACGGCTAAATTGGCCGCTGGTAGATAGTACCGGTGACCCCAGAGCTGGTGCTTTCCTCGCTCAACAAATAAGTATCGCAATACAGGACGGAGGAAATGCTGCAAGCGTTAACTACACTGCATGGACCAAACTTTTAAAATCTGTTTTAATTTTCTTTTTATTCATTTTTAATTATTTTTATTATTATGTAGGTTAAGAATATTATAAACACTGTATATTTGACTAATGTTTATGTATTAATAAACGATAATGTATTAAAGAAAAAATACAAAATTGTATTCTAAGACAGTAACTCCCGGATTTTATTATAAATTTATCTACATTGACTATGCATTGAATCCGTATGGATTATGAAACCGTATGGTTTAGTTCTGAAGTTTATAATATGAACCAGTGATTTGGCACTGAAATGCAACTTCCAACTCCGCGCAAGAAACATTTATATGATTGTCTTAAATGATAATATACGCATACAACATAACAAACTCGTAAGTCATTTTTAATGCAAATGACAATATCATAATAAAAGCAAAATGTAAAAAAGTTTAACTAGCATTTTCGTGTGTTATTTCGTTGTAGTATATTTTACACACAATTGTTTAGTTATATTTTGTTTCTTACTTTAGTTTAGTATATTTACATTTTAGTCAGTATGATATAGGGTCATTCAAGTGGCGGCTGAACAGGTATCTCCTGGACAGAGGTAACCTCCAATAGGCCACATTTCACTTCACAGGTGGTGGTGTGGCCGAATGTCTGTCCAGATCTGTATAAAAATATAGCCTTCTATAATGATGAATATATTCCACCTGAGTTAGAAGACTGGTTCATTTGGACACTGGGACATTTTGCCACAGTATAGGCAGCGGCACGTAAGTCTAGTGGAGAGGATTGCTGCGCATGTGTACTGTCGCGCGGGGGACAAAATGCGACTGGAGAGCCAATCAACGCTCTTCATTTCGCTAGCCCCCCTCAGGTACCTTTTTTTTTACTTCCGCGCAATAACGGTCAGCGCTAGAGTTTCGTGCCGCTACTTGTACTTATATATTCCACAGGCCTCTTACAAAGATAGCCAATACCAATAATGTAAAGTAAAGATGCAATAATGTGAAGAGGCAAATAAACTTTTTTATTATCATATTAATGTTTTTGTTGTACAAGCCAATATCAAGACATTTGTTTTTTTTTAAAAAGCAAATAGTCTTTTGTCCTTGACAGACGCCGCCAATTTATTTATGTAAATACATATGTTAGTTAAACATACACGTTGTTTTAGCAACGTGTATGCATAAAGTTATAGAAGAAAATATGACATCACAAATTAAAAAGTAGCAGATAAGCGAGCCGTAGGTACGTATATAATACTTTTAGTTCTAGTAACTCTAGGATTACATAGAGAGGAACGTTTTGTAAGAAGGTTAGTATGAGTGTCAAAGTTAAATACTTACTACAAATAAACTAGGTCAATTATTTGTCATCGCCTTAGCATAGTACATAAAGATAGAAAAATCCACTGGTGCAAAGTAATGCAGTTCTTCAGCGACGAGCCACTAGGCTACTATTGATTTTATTCAGGACAAAAGGGAAACAATATTATGCTATATTGCTATATGCAGGTAAAATATTCCCTGGTTTCTACAAACATTTTATATGGTAAACATTTACTAGAAATATTCAATGATACCTGTTCGATGCAGCTTTTACGTCACCTATTTTCAGTTCTGGAAATATTTCCGAAATTCTAACAAAGAAAAAATAAAAAACATTCTAACTATTCCCAAATATCTATGGCTTCATTAAAACATCGTTTCGTTATCATGGTTAAGGTTGGTATGGTAACAGAAAACTATAATTACGCTTAGAACTTCTAGATTATAAATGAACTCACCTTACAGCAGGCACCTCAAGAATATCCCATTCAACTGACATGTAGAATTCTGACAGATCGACCCCCACAGAGACGATATTGCTCCCCGTTTGCTCATCCATGTGCCGAAGATCCACCTGCACATACTTCACTCATCATCTTGTATTAGCAGGCGTTAGAAGAATGAGCATTTAGATGTATATTTCCTTGTTTTTCATAATCGACTCAAAGTAAGAAAGTCAAGATCGTCAGGGCTGTAGCGTAGAACCAACTATTTTGTTCACTGTCTATAGTGGTTAACTATTTTTTTTTATTACCTTAAAAGTTTCTAATGAGTTTTGATCGGGCAAAAGTAGGTATAACGTTACCAACACTTCTTTTAGAACAAGATACAGTCAAACATAACCAGCTTAAAAATGACACGGGTGTGTCAAATACAAATTGGATATGACATAAACGGCTTAGCGCATCTCGAGCCGGCGAAAATATTTTTTTTTTATAGACCGGGGCATACGGGCAGGAGGCTCACCTGATGTTAAGTGATACCGCCGCCCATGGACACTCTCAATGCCAGAGGGCTCGCGAGTGCGTTGCCGGCCTTTATATAGTAATATACAACTGATAGTTGGTTGTTATATAAGGTTGAATCTTTAAATTTTTTGTTAGCTGAAAATTACGGTGTATACTAACTAACTTAAATAGAAAATAGCCCTGCAGATGCTTGTACTACTAAGGAACTTCACTATTATTATTTTTTTGTTGAGATTGGCCATAGACTACTTATATATCTCGAGACGATCTAGCGCCTATAGGATGTTTCACTTCATTTAAATAATTAATTAAAGGATGCTCATTCTTCTTTATTATAAATTTAAAGTGGAATTAAAAGTCTCAAACGACCAAAGTTAATTTCAATTGAGTGAGCATTAAAACTCTGAATTTTTCAATCAATCATTCATCATTCTTATTCGTCATTCTTTTATTCTTCAACTGAAAAGATATATTAAGACATTATATTCCTAAAATACAAATCACACAAATCACAAATACTTAAAAACTAATCATTTTTAATTTTATTTTAGTCGACATTTTAAATTGTTTAGTTTAGAAGCAAAAACACTACATTTGCGTCAAACAAAATTCAATTTATGCAGAAACGTTTCTCTCATTTTGTTTCGACGCAAATTTCATTTTATTTATTGGTTTTAGTTACAATTTTATTCGATACATGCACCTGTCACACAATGTGTACGCAGACCCTACGTAGACATTGTTTACAAACTTTAATCTTATTTTATCTTACGTTATTACTTACCACAAAGTGTGCAAAGTATCATGTACCTATAATTTATCCACACACATCTCGTACAACGGCAAAGATGACAACAACATGCCAAACGCACGTGACACAACACCTATTTTAAAGACGATGGAGTCGGTGATATTCTGATTTTAATTCAGCAAAAGAACGTCATTTAGGACCTCGGAAGCACCGGCTCCGCCACGCAGTGTTAGCCGCAAACGAGTCGTCGAACGTGCGACTTTATTGCGACTCTACGCCTAATCTTTGTGTATGAAAATTTTGAAACGACTCCAATCTAGACTAGGCGCTAAGTCATGTCATGCAACGCACGTCTTTTTGAATCTGTGGTGGCAGCATTATCAGTAATTTTAAATCTTTAATTACCAATGTTTTAAAGAATTTATATCCTAGAATAGAAATTCTTTTATAACAGGCAATATTTTAAAGGAGCAAGGTACCTATTAATTTAGTTGATGCCTATTAGTTAGTTGTATGTATGCGCTAAAAATTTATTCAGAAATTGTAGTTTGTTGCCACCACTTCAAAGTTCCATGGTTTGTTAAGCTTTTCATATTTTGTTATGTTGTTTTTGTTTCGTCTTTGTTGTTATAAATATCATGCAATGAGCGACACCGATCTCAAACAGCCACTAAAGTAACTAAAGGGAAAGGTATAAAATATGCTGATGATTGTAAAGTGTGAGCCCGCGGGCGGGTCGTCGTACCGCGGTGTGTCGCGTGGTGTGTGTGACGGCCGCGCCGCTGTGATCGGGAATGCAATCGTGGGAGAGAAGCCGCCATGCAGTTAGTGATGTAGTGTAAGCATGCACAAGCGTTGTGTGTGTTTATGTGTGTGTCGCGGGCGGAGCCAGCCGGGAGAGGTGTCTGTCACGGTTAAAGCCGCTCCACGCCGGACGAGCCTGCGCGACATTAAAGCTAGCCTAGACCACACGTGAAACGGCTCGCTCCATTCGGGAAGGTCGGGGAAGGTTGAATAGTGAAGTTGCATCCCATATCACCTGGCATCAAATTTTATACCTTTCCGTGTCGAGCGAGGGACGCCGGTCGGGTGGGGCGAGGGTCGCCCGACCGTTCGAGGACTCGCAGAGTCAACCGCTACTCCACATACTTAAACAATCAACTCAATTGAACACAGAGCTGGGCCGGGCGAGGAGCGTGTGAGCACGCTGGTCGCCCGAGCGCCGTCGCCAATAACAAGGACAATACGACGATTACGTTCGAGCGGTTAGCTACTGACATCGGCCTGCGGGGCCCTACGGCTATGGCCCACGCGGGAAGCGGCGTACAGCGGGGCGTCACCTTGAAGCCGTCATACGTCCAGCTGCCTAACTTAAGCACACAGGTTTGCACGTCGTAAGGAAAGAACTCGACGTCGATCGAGCAGGAGGATTTATAGACGGCTGGCGGCTGCCACACGACCATGCCGGTGTAGTAGACGATAGCCTTCGTCATCAGGGTCACCTCGTAGTTGCCATCGGCGCTGCGGACAAACAGAGCCATGAGCGCGCGGTTGCTTCTCGCAATTACCTTGAATCCGTCGTACGTCCAGCTACCGAACTTTAGGACGCACGTTTGCTCGTCGAACGGAAAATATTCGACGTCGATTTCGCAGGAAGACTTGTAAATGGCTGGTGGCTTCCATTCCACTAGCCCCATGTGGTAGATGGTCGCCTTCGTTGCCAGCGTTACCTCGAAGTTGCCGTCGGCACTGTAATGGTAAGATCTGTTTATATGGCCCTTGAGATATAGCAATTTTTGTAAGGAGACAAAAATTGATTTATCTTCATAATTTTAGGCGTTAAGTACAAATTTATTCATAATTAGTATATAAGTATATTGGTCCCACATTCATGTACAATAAGTTTCCTAAATGTATGGAATGTAATTCTTACAACTTCTCATAAACCGCTTTAGATAAATTTTTATATCGGTCTCTAGATCCTAGTTAAGATTTCTAAAACTATGCCAGTGGAGTAGTTTGGTAGGGCAAAACTTTGTTTGCAAGAAAATTAAATAATGTAAAAGATAGGCTAGTATTTACAATTATTTTTCTATTAAATAATTTTATATTCCGGAGGGTAGCGTGTTTTGGATTAACACACATTTAAATAAAACCACATTAGTAAATGCGAACTTATTGTTTTTATCCCAATATTTTGATTTCCTTTTCCGCTGCCGTGGTCAGAGACAAAAAAGATAGATAAGATTATGTCATATTTTCTTATAATAAGACATTAAGCCTCGGCTCAGTGTAACCGACGCCTGATAAGGATATCACGAAATATGAAGTCATATGAGAAAGGGAGAGATAAATCTTGAGATTAGATTAAAGGCTCTTATGGCATAATAAGGGAATTTATCTTGGGACAAGGTTAACGTATGATGTCGGTATGTTAGCGTAAATTAGAATATTCAAAGATTTTGTCTATGTTAAACAACGAATATACACAAAAAAATTAATAAATACAATAAACTTTCGTTTGTATATATTCATTATTTAAACAGACATTATCTACGCGATTATCTTGTGAATTAATAATAATGTTCTATGATTAATTAGCTATTTATTTTACTTAATAGACTGGCAGTTATAATATTCACGCAATACACACTTACAAAAATTTGTTTATACATGTTTAATTCTACGAAAACATCGTGGCCATAATTCTATAATGACTAACTCTAAATGGAGTATTAAATAAATCAAAATAGAGATAAATTATAGCCACAGAGCTTTCAGAGATTGTAAAGAAATGTGCCAAGTAATGGGGAAAGGATATCTCAGAGGGACAGGTCGATATTTGTCTGAAAACATTAATCAAATGTCAGGTAGGGGCTGAAATAACAAGGTATTTCTTAAAATATTTTTATCTAATATATAAAACTCTCGTGTCACAATGTTCGTTCCCATTCCTCCGAAACGGCTCGACCGATTCTTATGAAATGTTTTGTGCATATTCAGTAAGTCTGAGAATCGGCTACTATCTACCTTTCAAACCCTTAAGTGATAAAGGGTGTCCACCCCAAAAAAATTTTTTTAATTTTTAGAAATTTTTTTGTTTTTATTTTTTTATGATACAACATACAAAAATACACACAACCCTTAATTTTAACCCCTCTACGATCAACACCTTTTTTATATTAGGGTAGATAGTTATTTTTATTGAACTAAAAAAATGTTTCCTTGAAATAATATACATGGCAAAACAACGTATGCCGGGTCAGCTAGTAGTATCATAAAATAATGCTAAAATTAAATAAATTTTTACTGTAATGAGTAATCCTCTTTATTAGATTTCCTACATACACGAAGAAGTAATAATATTTAAAATGGGTAATTATAAAAACGATTTAGTGATCATTTCAGATAACGCAAAGACGCTTCAAACTATGCTGCAACAGCTGACAGAAGCAAGCAAGATAGTTGGGCTTTCTATGAACAAATCTAAAACGAAAATAATGACAAATAGAGAAACTTTTATGATACAAATAGGAGGAGATGCTATCGAATATGTAGACCACTACGTATATTTAGGGCAAATAATATCATTTCATGACCAAATGGATCTTGAGATAGAAAGAAGAGTGTCTAGCGCCTGGAAGAGATTTTGATCACTCAAGGAAGTACTTAAAAGTAAAGACTTCCCAATAGTAGCTAAGAAAAAGGTGTTCAATCTATATGTATCCTACCATGTGTTACATACGGCTGCGAGACTTGGGCTTTATCTCAGAAACATCTTCTAAAGTTGAGCCCATGCCAAAGAGGAATGGAAAGAAGCATGGTGGGTGTAACACTGAGACATCGAAAAAGAGCAGAAGAGATCAGATCAACGACCAAAGTAGAAGACATTATAAAGAAAATAAGGCAGTTGAAATGGCGCTGGACTGGGCACATGACGAGAGATAGCAGGTTGAAATGGACAAAAATAATTACAGAATGGCAACCACGTGATGGAAAAAGGAAAAGAGGAAGACCGACCAAGAGAAAAAGGGCAGACGATATTAAGATAATAGGAGGCACAACTTGGACAAGAAGAGCTAATAACAGAAAAGAATGGAAACAGCTGGAAGAGGCCTACGTGTCACAGGACACGCTGATTACCAAAAACGGGTCATATGATGCATTAGATTAAGTTTTATTTTATTTATGTGTTAGAATTAAGTGTTTTTTTATGTAAATTAAATAATTGTATGGGTGTCAGCAATAAAGGCTAATCAATCAATTATAAAAATGAATACTTACAATAAAATAAGCGTCGTAAGAGCACGATTTCCCACTCGATACAATTATACTATTAGTGGTCTCACGTTGGATAGAGTAGCAGAGGTCAAAGATCTGGGAGTATATTTTAATGCCAATCTTGGGGTTGCGCAACACGTTGATAAGACATGCAAAAAGGCATACAGAAATTTGGGGTTCATACTACGGGGCATTTGGGGTACATAATAGCTTGTGGCTTCACAAATATCAGTGCGATTAAAATTTTATACAATGCGTTAGTCAGAAGTCACTTGGAGTGCAATGCAATGGTGTGGGCCCCATATGAGGCTAAATACAGTCTCATGTTAGAGCAAATACAAAATAAATTCACCCGTTACCTCTACAAGAGACTGTATGGAGTGTATCCGCTTATGTATCCGACCCTGTTTGTTCTGGGTATGGTGGGCTATGACCAGCTACGCCTCAGAAGAGAGCTAGCCTTGTCAGTGTATATAATATTTAAGATACTTACGGGTCGGGTTCATAATCTGGATATAATGGAGAGACTGAGTCTACGGGTACCAAGTAGAAACCTGAGGCGGAAGTCTCAACTTTTGGATGTACCGCGCGCACATTCCAACTTGGTTAGCGAAGCACCACTCACGCGAGCAATACACATAATAAATAAGATTTCTGTTAAGGTAGACCTATTTGTTTGTACACTGGCCGAGTTCACAAGAGTTGCTTCCTATATTATTAGTTATAAGATTTAGGTATATAAATATTTTTTTTTAATGTTTTTTATCTAGGTTAATTGGTGTGGGTAAAAATATTGTGTCGTTCTATCGAATTAGTAATTACTGTAAAGATAGAATAATGATATGGAATAAATAAATAAAAATAGAAACATCTTATTTTAAATATGCAAGGTACCCAAAAGACAAAGAAAAATAAAGAATATAAAAATTGTATTGCGACCACTATATAAAAACTATCTAACAAAACCAGGATTGCTGATAAATACACAGAAATCGAACTAAATTAAATAATATTAACTACTAAAACTGGCAGTTATATTTAGGATAAAATATGCATACTATATCAATCGACAATTACGATGTTTGTTCTTTTCTTCCTTCAACTCGTCACTTTTGCCTTTGGGATGTTGAAGAATATCAAAAGCGCGGGCATTTATTAACAGTCAGCGTTTTTGATTTTCTACTACAGCCGATACTCAATTTCTAAATCATTTGTAACGTCGTCTAAAAGCCGGCTTATTCCTGATTTCATTTTATCAACGACCATGCCGAGGCCTATGATCGCTGGAAAACACGTGACCTATAACAAAATCTATTTTATTTTATGAAAATAGACTTGGATCATCCTCAGACCCTTTGATTTGGGCCCGAGTCGAGCAAGCTAAGATGTAAAGATAGAGAGATCAGCAGCTTATGTCTTAGGTCCATGAAATGGAAAATGTCGCTAGTACATAGTACTCGACTAGTATAGTGACAATGTCAAATTATAAAATTAATTTTACATTAATAAATGGGTCATAAACATATAGGGTATAATTTTCAAGCAGTTATTTTATTTCTCGGATTAAATAAGAAAACAAATATTTACCGTGTGTGAAGAAGTAAATAGGAGTAATATCCAACCAACCACTTTCATTTCGACGTAGTTACTGTTCCATTTCTGGGAAATAACTGGACTGCCTTGAACAGGTGGTTTTTATTTAATTTACATAATTAATTAAATATTATATCGTTATTGTGATACACAATTAAACAAAATTAATCAATTGTCAGTTTTCTGTGTCTAACATCCTGAAGTGTTTTGCCGTGCCCATACATTCATTTTGAATTTAGTGCAAAATATTATTATAATAATAGACCGAGCAAGAGAGCTCCAGTTTATCCAATAAGTTCAGTTCAAAATTTAAGACAAATTGCAATTATAATATTACAATTTCATTTAACAAGTTTTTTCTTGCAAGAGGAAAATACAAGCCCTACAGAAGTGTCTCCTAATTTAGCGCGAGAAATTGGGAGAAGTTTTCCTGGCGCATTTGAGGCGAACAAAAAATAATTTCCCTTGTTTGAGTTTTTGTCGCCATGCCATGAAGAAAATTTGTTATCGTTATCAGCTACCCGTTTGTTTTTCAATATGTTTCAATAACATTTTTAAAATTAAATTCAAAGGAGCGTTTTACAATTTGTTACATTCGTACCGACTTTAACGGCAAAAGATTTCATTCCTTATTTGGTTTAACTTCGACAGCAGGGTGAAAAATTATTTTACAATTTTAGAACACTATCTGAATTATTGGTTATTTCTTATTAAAAATGTATCTAACACTACGAGTTTATGTTAACGGTTATAGATAATATATTATTAAATATAACTAGTTTAATATATACACATATACTATTTATTTATACAAGGTTTTCCAACTGGTATTACCATAAAAAACTGGTACACCTTAACAGGCAAACAATGCTTTA